CTTTTATAGGACATGACTAAGATCTGGTAATGTATTTAAAACTATGAAGTTATGTACTAAACTATGTTGCTTCCGCAAATTTGAACTTAGTTTGTAATATTTTATTCGCACTCTGATGGATGTAATCCGGATGCCACTTGTGAAATGTTGTAACGAATGATGTGTTGTGTTGAATCACTACGGTCTTGGTTTGTATGTCGAGAGTTGTTTGAAATCCTTCGTGATTTCTGGACTACCGGGATTATGGGAGCTTAAGTACAGGAATTTGATCACTTCGGTGATTGTTTTTGTACTTACGTTCTTATAATTTGGTCGGTTCTGTTACAACAGCCCCCGCCGTCAGCCTCTCCTCTGCCTGCTGCTAGGGGACTCCCTCCCCTCCCTTCGACTGCACCTCCGTGCGCGTGTTGCGCGATGGCGCCTCAGTGCTCGGAGGAGGAGCTACTAGAGCCCCATCGTCATTCGACCACTCGGACATCGTCGCACTTCGCGTTCGAGTGGTCTGATCACCGCCAAGCGAGATGCACCTGCCATTTTCCTCTTCGCGGCTCATCTGTCGCCGCCCTTTTCCCCTGGACCTTATCCGACACCGGGGGGGACTCTCTGTTCGACCAGCACGTTGGACTTCGGACTCCGACGAGGTGCTGGCGGCACCTTCCTCCGGCTGAGTGGTTGGCGGGGCATCCACTGCCTTCGGCCAATCGCTCCTCATCACGCTCGAGAAGTATGCCGCTCGTTCTTGCAAATGAATCTTTCCACAAGTGAATCAGTTCACTGCTCGGCACCGGTGCAGGATAAAAAGCATCAGGAACAACAGTTGAGATTTTTACCTAAGGAGGGGATTTCGTGCAGTTGAAGGCTCTCATCTGCCCTGGCACGCTAAACGGCGTGTTTGGAGTGAATAGTTTAGCTGCTCGGCGTATCACATCCTCCTTCGACAGCCTCTCCGTCCTCTTCCGGGTGCCATCAGTGTATCCCTTGAAGTCAAAGCCCATGTGGCCCTCTCCTTGTAGGGCTGGACGTTGCGAACTATGAAGCTCGCCGCCACCAGTATGTCGTTCATCTTCACGCCCTTTATCAGGCTGAGGAGCTCCCTCACCTGATCCATATCACCACTGCTCGGCTTCTCTAACCAGCTCTTTTGGTTCTTTAGAATGGGGTCGACGTCGCAGCGGATGGCAGGATGATTCTACTTCATGTAGAATCACCTGGCGTTCCACCCTTTCAGCGAGGTGTTCAGCGACACAGTGATGTACTCGCCCGCCATCCCATCGCGGAGTTGCAGATACACGCCGCCGACCACTCTAGAACCGCCGCCGCCCTTCTTTAGCTAGAACAGGTGTCGGAAGAGGTTGAAGTGGGGATAAATTCCGAGAAACGCCTCGCAGAAGTGGATGAAAATGGAGATGTGCAAGATGGTGTTGAGATGCAGATTGCACAGACTCACTCCCCAGAACTCCAACAGATCCCACAAGAAAGGATGAACAGGAACTCCTAATCTGCGCCATAAGTAATCTTCAAAAACGACAACTTCGTCGGTGTGCGGCATCGGGTAGGGCTCACCGTCGGCCGGACGCCATCCATCTCGTCGAGCTCCGTCTCCCCCATGAGGGACGGTACCCACTCCTGGTCACGACTCGTCCCGACGGCCGCCTTCTTCGGGTTACCAACTCCCCTCTTCGGCACCATCTCTTAGATCTGGTTTGGGGTTGGCGGCGGAAGCGCGTGTGAATGTGAATCGGAAAGCGCGAGGGCTGAGGAGGAAGACGAAGTGGCGAAGTGGCAAAGGTGGGAGCATGGAGTGCGGCGGCGTAGTTATAAAGCCCCCTCCCCACTTTTCGCATTCAAAGGTTTTTGGGAAACCGCTCCACGATTTGCGCCTCTCTGAATTCTCCGAAGCGGCGTGGTGGGCCATTACCTGGGCTTCCACGCAACTGCAGCCCATATCGCCCATTTTTCGCCGCAACTTGTTACTGCACACCGAATATTCGCTGACTTCTCCGCAATCCATTAAGGCTCAATAACTACTACTGTACAGTCATTACTCTGGTTTTTTCTCCACGATTTGATTTCTCCGAGATTTTCACTTGTGACTCAGGGACTACGTCATCACTGCGACTTGGTCCCTCACCATACTGGGGACTTTCTTCTGTTTACTGTTGTTTCTGGCCCTAACACCACGTGACCACGTCATATACTGTTAGGCTCGGGGACTAAGTGGGCACACTTCACCTTGCGATGAATGTGCTTTTCTCATTTCAGGGTTTCGCCCGGGGACTGGCTGCTTGCTCGGCTGGTCTTCTGCTTTTATTCTACTTTGGACCTAGCACCACGTGACTACGTCACCTACTGTTAGGTTCGGGGACTAAGTGGGCACACTTCACCTTACGGTGAGTGTGTTTGCTTTAATCTAGAAGACTCTACGCCTCTTGAAGTTAAAGAAGTCTATCTCCCTTTCTCGTGGTCGGACTCTAAGTGGGCACACTTGATCCACTGCGAGTAAATTTTTTATTTCGAACTTAAGCTCCTTACATCCTTATGACAAGCCTTACTTGGGATACACTGCTCGGCGACGGTTCACAACTTCTCGGCAACTCATCACGGTGGTTGGACCATGAGTCTACTGCTCAGCTTTATGCACACCTACTCAGATAAGCTCAAGACGGCGTTGCACAGCAGATACAAGGTGCTTGGGGACTAGCTGTGGGGGGTACGACCCCGGATACCCACGGCAAACTACATGAGCTGCGCTCCCAGGGGCGGTCCAACCCACAAGACGAAGCCTTATGAAGCACGCACGCTGCTCGGCATGCCCCGCAAGACACCAGGAAGATATTCTGAAGATACTACGAGATTTGTTAGGATACGTTCGATCTCATGATTCATGTAATCTATTATTACTTTCCGATTATCTCCTAGATCGAACCGACTTGTAACTCTACCCCGGACTATATAAAGCGGGCAGAGACCCCCTCCAAACACACGCAATATCATACAAAGCCAATACAATCCAACAGGTCACAGGAGTAAGGTATTACATCGCGCTGACGACCTGAACCTGTCAAACTCTTATGTCTCTGTTGCCTTCTTGTTCTTGATTACGCACACCTCTGCCGATCAATCTACCTTCGTTAGATACCCCTCAGAGGACTGCCGACGATATTCTGTCGACAAAGATGGTCATCGCCGTCCAAATAATTGTTGTGCTGCAAGCTAATAGTGACACACTGCTAAACTGGAAGCAGTGGCAGGCACAAAGATATTAACTTAGGATGCTCTTCTGTCAGCAACAACCTTAACCACATTCTCAAAACCTCCATGAATACAAGTTGCAAGTAATCAAGCACCACCGGTACTCACCAAATTCCTTGACCAACAGCGCTGCATCTTCCAGAAGGAAGAATCTTAGTTGAAGGAGCAGGGAATTGGTGTCTCCTACTGGTCAGCTTCAAAGTCAACCGATGGTGAGTGGCCTGGGAAATGGCCAAACTTCCAGAGAGGAAAAACGATTCCAACTGGTGCCCGTGCTCCACCACATTGAACATTCTACATGCAAGATTGAGAAGACCCTTTTGTTCCAACACCGTGTGTAAGACGTCATGACAAAAAGGAGCAGAAGCACAAATGAAATGGGTGAAAGTTCAGAAAACCATTCAGGTCTATGTCAACGAAGTCAGTGGAGTAGAATAGTCCGACATAGAAAAATTTACAAGTGACAAGAACACGGTATGTAGGAAAAGAGAAGCCATCAAACCTCAGAAACAAATTGGAGAAAGATAAGGCTTGCCGGTAATGTTAAACAGACTGTGGTACCACCTATTATTTTTCAGACCATCTAGCGTATATGTTACATTCAGATCCCAGATAACACCAGAACAAGATTTCAGATAAATGAAGAACTGCTGAATGTTGTTCACAACCAACAAACTAGCGTGTAACTGTAACAGAACAAACAGAAGAATAAAACCTATCAGTTGAACCCCACTGCCGAGTCTATGAATTAAACACCATCTAATAAATTTCAATAACATGAAAGACATAGGCAAAGTTATTCATATTCTACATATCCTCAGAATGCTTCCTTACATAGATCGTCTTACTAACTACAGAAGAGAATGCAACCAAATCTGTAAAAATGCACAGGCAAGCATGCCCACTTTAGTATCTGCAGATCAAATTTTTACACTCCACTCATATTTCCCATGTTTGCATCTTACTGTGATACTATTTGATTAATTGACCCTGTTCTAGTTATGCTAAAAGTACACATCCCATAATCAGGATCCATATCAGACATCACAATCACATCAACATAGGACAACCTCCTTAGTGTATGATGAAGATGAGTAATTAACTCCCATCATACCTTTGTCTCCAAAAAAAAAGGTTTATGCATTACATCCCATCTGAAGCTACAATATGACACAGAATGAAATGACAAGGTAATTTGACTTCATATCCAATGCCATTTTTTTTCCATAATCAATAGTTTATGAATGGAAAGAAAATAGATGTCAATGTAACTTCTGAACACAGACGAAGAACAAGTGGCACAAAAACATCTTCACCTTCCAAATTTACTATTCAGAGCTTCTTTGCTATGTAGAGCAGTTGATATCTAATCATAGTAGTATTTATGTCGTAAGTACAAAAGGGTTTTCAACAATGGACAGTAATATCCAAAGAAAATCATACTTTTAAAATGATGATCTGATGGCCTTGTTTACACATCATATTTTTCAACCCAGCCAATTGTTTCTAAGAAGATTACAGCATGCAATTGCATGAATCCCTACTACTAGGACGAAAATCAATAATAAGTATGCTCCAACCAAAAAGTCTAGCAATATAAACTAAATTCTTTAACTGAAATAAGAATGAACAGCATGGTACCATCCAGAACAACAAACAGCGATACAACAAATAGCAGCACCAATTAATTTAACATACAAATATAAAAGAATTTAAGGGGCTCAAGGAGCAACCATGGCATCTAATTGTCATGACTCATGACTTGTAGAGCAGGCTCCACGTGGTTGCCTTCGGAATATGGAAACAGACAAGCTCCTCGACATCAAAGCACCCATCCGTGCTTTCCATCTTGACGGCCTGCCACTGCTTCCACTCGAAAGCTCCGGTACTATCCGATCATCCAAATCCTCTGGCAGCACATCACTCCCAGCATTGTCTAGCGCACCACTCTCATCCACACTCCGACCATCCTGCAACTCACCAGCTCCACCAGGAGTGTCAAAATTCACAGCGAGAGCTCCATTCCTGCTAGCCCGGAGGCGCTCAGCACACTCGGAGGTCACCCGACGGCACTTCTTCACCTTAACCTTGACAAGGCGTGGGCAGCCTTCAGCAAGCTTATTCATCCCTGCGTCAGACACCGGACATGCTTTGATGCACAGCTTACGCAAAGCAGCACATTTGGCAGCAACACACGAGATCTCCGCATCACCAAACGTGTCGGACCCACACAGCGCAAGCCGCTCTAAGGTGGGACAGTTGGCAGCAATCAATTCAAGACTGGATGATGTCAAATTCACACCAATGAGGACCAGTTCCTGCAAGCTGGCACATTTCTGTGCAACGGCAGCAAGCCCCCGGTCACCAATCCTGTTTGCTTTCCATCCATCAACATGCAGCTTGCGGAGGCGTGGCGACTTGGCGGCAAGCTCGGCTAATCCGACATCAGTGACCTCAGGTGCCTTGGCAAGGTAGAGTACCTCGAGCCCAAATAAGGCGGCTACACCCCGGTCGCTGACCTGCAGCTTCTCGAGGTGGAGCTCAGCTAGGAGGGAATCCCTTGGGACGTCCTGGAGCACGATGTCCCAGTCACCCGAGCATCTGATAATCTTGAGGGTTTTGAGGTTGGGCGACTGGGTGATCAAATAGGAGAAGCACTGGCCGTTGTAGAGCTCCTTGAGCGATAGAGATTGGAGGCGCGGGCCGGAGACGGAAATGGGCTCTGATTCAGCGAGGCCACGGAGACGCTTGACGGACAGCTCCTCGAGGTGGAGGCAGGAGCGGAGGACAGCCTCGATTCCGTTGGCTCCGAAGGCACAGTAGCCGACGGAGAGCTTGCGGAGGTTAGCGGCCGCGGCAGCGAGCGCGGCGACCCCATCGTCGGTGACCGCGCGCAGGGAGCGGAGTTTGAGGCGACGAAGGCCCGGGCCGAGGCGGTCGGCAACTTGCGCGAGGGCCGGGTCGCCCACGCTCTCAGCGCGGCGGTCGCACTTTAGCGCGAGCTTGGAGACGGCGGGGAAGCGCGCGAGGAGGCGGGGGAGGGCCGAGTCGGCGAGCAGCGGTGCCCTGGCGTCAAGCGCGAGGCGAAGGCGGGAGGCGGCCTCTACGGCTAGCCAGCGGCGGCACACGAGGGAGCAGCGCTTGCGGTCGCCGGAGCCGAGGAGACCGAAGACGAGGGCGAGGAGCTCCTCGGGGAGGTCGGCGGTGTGGTCCTCCCCGGCGGCCTCGGCGATGGAGGAGAGGACCTGCGGCGGCGCGGAGAGCGCGGGGGACGGAGGCAGGAGCGGGGGCTTGCGGCGGCGCGGGACGGAGGGGCACTGGCCCATGGGGGACGGGGCGGCGGCGGATCTGCCGAGGAAGGGGAGGAGAACGGGGAGAGGAGTGGGTGGGTGGGGAAGGTCTGGGATTCAGGGCGCTGCGGATGCCACCAAGGGATTCAACCCGATTAAATGCTGCTGTCCGTGGGCTGCGCGCACGCCATTTTCTTTTTGTTTTTTCTTTGTATTATTATTGTTACTATTAATCACTGCATTTCTGTGGTTTGCCTGGGTAGTCGCGTGTGATTTGGGTAAAACAATGACATTAGCCACGCTACTCCGTACGAATTCCATAATTTCCACTGCAAATCTTTTTTTCTAAATTTCCCCTACGGTGAAAGCTTTGTTTGACCATATAATTAGAAGGATTTTTTTTAATAAAGGGATTGAGTCCGGCTTCATCCCTTAGCACTGAGGGAATCGGATCACTTTTTTTCAACGAAAGAAGAATTATATTAGATATAATAGCTGGGTACATCAACACGCTACAGCTACTCTGGATTACACAAATATCAAAAACTGATTTTCATCTAAATTATACTTATGCTGTGAATAGCTCCAGATCTCAAAGCCAAACTTGTATGACGCTTTGCAGTATGAATGATCGCACAGGCAAATACTCGGCAAAAGGCCTGAGAATAGATGCCCAACGAACGACGATCAACATTCATGTAGGCGGAGTTAAGAAACTTCTTCTTTCTTGTGTCTTCCCTTCTCTTCTTTCGGCGAGGATGCTTACGTCATAGTTGTCGCCCCCATCTTCAATAGAGCCACCATGGAGAAAACGGTTTCACCCTACCATCTCATCGTCATCGGAGAGGAGGAGAAGATAAATTCTCAAAACCAAGATGGCGAGACCCTAACCCTAAGGACTCAATATACTAAAAAAATTTATTAAAAACGATGTATCCCCACTCCCTCCGGCCCCTGGCGATATAGGGGGAGGGGGAGGGAGGGGGACCAGCCGTGGTGGAGGTGAGGAGCGGCGGCAGCGGCGGTGCTCTTATTCACGAGTCGCGTGGGGAATCAGACCACTTAGTATCATAAAACATGTTCAACTTAAAACTCAATTCTAACATTATTTGGCTATCCAAAGGAAGAAAAAAAAGCATAGTTGCCGCTTCTAGCTCCTAGCATACTTGGATCTAAAAAGATGGATACTCGCGTTGCAACGGGTATTGTAAATGAATTCGAATAAAATTAGGGTCTGTTTGGGACTGCTCTGTTCTAATTTTTCAAGCTCTGCTCCACCAACTCCACCGCAGAGCAGCTACACTATGGAGTTACCGGAGCAGGTGAACCTGTTTGGCATGTAGCTCTGCTCTGCTTACAGGAATGGGAGGTTTTGGTTGTAATGGCCATTTTTGCCCTTGGACGTTGTATGTTGTATCTTATTATTTTAAAAATCATTTGCAACAAAATGATCAATTTTATAAAAAATAAACTCTTTCATATCTGCAGTGTCACATATGAATGCCCGGTAATAAAAGAAACTATATAAATAAATGTTGTGTACTCCGTCAGTTCACATTAGTATGTCATCCAAAGAATAATGAACGACTCTCTCTGGTGGTAATTTCCATGAAAACGAAAAGGCAGCAACGTGATTCCCTCCCGGTGCGCGGAGGAGGCTAGTGTCTAGCTCGTGGCCCAGCCGGAGGTTGCGGGTGCATGCCGCGGCCATAAGGAGTACCACCGCTCCGATGGCCATTGCAGAGAGGGGAGGAGCCGATGATGGCCATGGCACTGTTACCAATGGCGCCACGGCGGTGCTTTTTCCCGTGGACGAGAGAGAAACGTGCGAAGGAAGGGGAGAAAGAAAAGAAAGAACCAAAGGGGTACGTCGTGTAACCGGTATTCCTACCAACTCCACCAGGAGGTATTCGGGAGTGGAGCTAAAAAAAACGTGGAGTTAGTACTGGTACATAAAATTTTTTGCAAGGTGTTTTTAAAATGGCATTGAAGACCGACGGGCCGGCTGCCCGCTTTGGTTATTCATGGCAGGACAGCCGTCCCAGTAAACGTCTCGGTTAATGTTTTATCGAGGTGGACATTATTGAGACGGGCATTATAATGCAACCGCCTCAGTTAATATTTTATCGAGACGGACAATATAATATAACTGTCTCGATTAATGCCTGTTAAACGAGGCGGGCATTATAACGCAACCGCCTTGGTTAATCCATTTTTGGAGACGGATACCTTACACCCTAAATTATTTACTATGACACATCATGAGCATCATATTTATGTGTCAGTGCATATGATGGAGTGCATAGATGAAGCATTGCAATTAAAACGATCAATAAAAGTGTTAAACAAAAAGTTACTCCATAACTCATACAGTTGTTGTAAACCAATTCTTATTGAACAAAAATATTATAGAACACACAAGTGACACTTAAATAAAGTTTGAAATATGAACTTTGTAGATGCCATGAAATACTTGCTGTTGAAAAATAATATTACTAACTAATATTTCTACTAGCCTAGAAAATGCAAATTGAAATCAAGTTCAGCTCAAAAACTTAAAAAAATTTCCAAGTTTGTCAGCAGCTAGACATTGCTATGTTTAGTAAATTATTTTGAGAAATTGGGTTAAGAGGTGGTATAGTGTTATAGCTCAATTTGGTAGTCTCATATACCATCTTGAGTGTAGCTAAGACCATTTAGGTTTTGTAGCAACGGTTTAATCACGGTGGGAGCTTTAAAAACCGTGCACAGCACGTCCTCGGCCTATTTCCCCGAGTGGGCGCGGTCAACGTGCCTTAGGGGCACGATGTCATCGCATTGGTGCGTCTTGAGCGTGCCCGCACGTTGTCCGTGCTCGGCTAGCCTTGCCGGCCGTCCGGTTCGTCGGGGGCGCTACGGTGTGGGGCCACAGCTACTGCTCGCGTGGCCGTGCGGCGCTGCCCTATCCCGCGTGCTGCCGCGCTGCCAGCCCACCGTGCGTCACGACGCAGCCGCTACCACTGCCATCGTGTCATCCTTGCGCTGCGCCTCTGGCCCGGTTGGATGCCGCGCGCACGTGGCCGTGCTTGCCGTCGCCATGCCATTGATGGCACTACGGCGTGCGGGCCACGCCGGTCGCGAACGCACGCGCCTGTCTGCTAGCGCCTAGATGTGGGTCTCCACGGTCGCGCCAACCGCAACCAGCCAAGGCGCGCCACGACAAGCCACCGACCGTACCCCACCGCCCTCTCTCTATTTCTCATCTCTCTGCCGCCGTCGAGCTGCGCCCACGTGCGAGCCAGAGAGCAGTCACCTCTACTCAATTCCACCTGTCTACACCTTCGCCCTCCCGTCTTCTCGCCACCCGACCTCGCACGGCCATGATGACGCCCCGGCCAAGCGCCAATTTGGCTCCATTCCACCAGCGTGCCGTTAAGGCCACGCCTTGGCCATGATTGAGGGCAGACCTCTATTCCTCCACCCGAGCCCAATTACTTACGCCGCTACATTCACCTTGCTCTCCTCTTAGCCCTGCTCACCACAGTCCAGTCGCTACCACCTCTACTCCACCACCGATGAGACCATGCCACCGCGGTATGCCGCCGCATGATTCGGACGCACGCGGCCGGTCCATCGCTCTTCGCTCCAACCCTCATTGCGGCTTGGCTTATGGTAGTCCCTTGATGCTCTCATGGTAGTTGGTTGGGACCGTAGCAACTCTAGTTCATCGGGGCCACCGTAGCCATCTCCAGCTCGTCCCGTACCCCCGCGTCGCTGCTAGGTGTAGGTAGTGGAACCCTAGATGAGTGTCGGTTCGATCGACGGGCTGGAGTGGACCTCAGGTGATCGGCGTAGCTTTTCCATGCCGCCGCTCGCCGTGTCGCCACGCGCGGGGTCACCGGGGGGTGTGCGTGGGAAAATTTCTGGAATTTCGAGGGGTTAAGCAAGAGTAGATGTGAGTGATAGGAATAGTGATAGGACTCCAGTGTAGTTTGGGAAGAATCCGGGGTGCTGGCTGCAAAAGTGCCTCGCGCGCGGGCTCTCTCTCTGTCGCGGGCCGCGTGTGCGCGCGTGCTCCACCGCGCATGTGGGCCGCGCGGAGAGATTCGTTTTTCATTTTCATAAGGAATTAGAAATAGTTTTCTAATTTAATTTCTAAGCTGATCTTTGGTAATTAATAAAAAATCATGTAGATGTCCAAAAATTGTGAAACAAGTTTTGTTAGGTTCCTAAAATTATGCTCTATCTGTTGGTGTATTTAGTTCATGTTTATATGTATTGACATTAGGGGCTATTAAATCAATTGAGGATGCTTAATAATAATAAGTTAATTATTGTAGGAATTTTTGTGGTAAATTGGTGATAGCTTTAGTCCTAAAATTTTTATAGTAGCTTCATTATATTATTATGTGCTCACTGTAATTTTGTGGCTTTAGAATAGACTAAGCATTAGGGTAGTTAAATGCTCTTTGTTTCAATATACATTAAATCATCAATAGAAATAAAGATATATCCTTCATTTGTAAAGCTAGGTGTTTGTTGGTTGAACCCAACACTTTGCTTCGTAAAGATGATAGTTAGCTTAGTACCTTAGTCATTAGAGCTAGCTTAGTAGCTTAGTATGCGTATTCTTAGTCTAAGAGTTGTTGTTGCCTAAATGCTAAGTGTTGCATCATCATCGCATGCATGTAGAGAACGAGTTGGCGAAGATCGTGACCACTGGCGATCACGAGTTTGAGGAGATCGTCAAGGAGTAAGAGGAGGAGATTCTCGTGCAGGAGGAGGTCCTAGAGCCGCCACTGACTAACTCAGTTGACACCACGCCTGCCCAAGGCAAGCCCTGGTACATAACCCCTTATTTTTTATAATCACTGTTTATATATGTTATGTGCATTTATGTTACAGGAATTTTATAGAAACCACATGCATAGATATACCTGTCCTAAGAGTCTTACTAGTATAGGTTCGAGTAGATGTTATGCTTAGGTCATCGGTAGCGTGAGTAACCTGCCGTTGCTCACAATAGGGGATTATTATTACTCTCATAATAAAATGAT